ATTCTGCCATCTGAAGCATTTCTGTGTGTTTAGGGAACAAACTACGAACTTGAGAACTATAAAAAATACTTTAAACAGTCATTTATTTTCCTTCCATGCACGGGTGTCATGGGATTAACTCCGGTGACATTTAGTACTTTTGCAAGCGGAAATGACATTAAATTACATACTTATGAGTATCTCCATGGCATTTTACTTTATAAATACTTATATCATTAATCTGCTTAAACCGCAAGTCCACCAAGAAATTAAAATCGGAGAAAACGCCGAGTGAAATCACTACATCTTCAATATAAACGTTTTGGAGATCAGCTCCATCATCAGCTCAAAAATTTCTATAGAATACAACAAGCACAATAATTAGTGATAAACTTAATAATAAAACAGATTAAACCAAAATACCGAGAAAACGACAAATCAGCAATAAATCTATCGATACACAATTTCAAGAAGATAAGAACTCTACGCATTATTAAGAAAAGGTTTCCGTCTACATATATGCATTCTTCGAAATCTTTATATCACAACCACCAGAGATGGAACAGAATATCTTGAGATCGCTTTCAGTGACATTCACATCTCAATGTTCAGCCTGAAGGCGCACAGCAGAATGAGAAAGGTTAGAAAGTGGAAGATTGGCTCGAACACTCCTGCCGCGTTGTTCAGAAACTCGGATGCGGAAATTACACGACGTCAATCCGGCGTACATTGATGCGCTGCGCGCATAATTATGTCCGTAGATAAGATAAGACCACATCCGACAGGAACAAAATCATCACACTTTAAAATTTTTCACTACCAAAACATCGGCGGTTAAAAATAAATTTCAAAAATAATTGAGAAAAATATCTTAGAAATAAGATTTTCAATTCATACTGACAATCAGAAGAGCTGTCAAAGAACAATAGTTGCCCTACCAATTATAATGATCACTTTTGGAATTTCGTGTATCGCAAACCGACATTTACGGCATAGAAATTAGCCTCTTTACCTTCTGTTTATTTCATACTAAATTAAATGGTCTTCATATACATTGATACACCGTGGCTAAAGAATTTGTTCCACCATCCATGATATGACTCATGAATTCGAATTCATTTGAAATATATTCCAAATGAATGGGTTTCTGTCGTCCCTAGTGCTTAGTAAAATGAAACGTTTTCTTCTTAATAGGTAAATGAGGTTGATAGAAAGATCTCACTGTGTATTAACTCCGTTACAACTGAAGTTCATATGGAGAATTGCATTGATTCCAACATGCTCTGCCTTCATAACAAGTTTCTATAACATGTTTTTCTAAAGCATCCTGTGTGTCTGATCATAATAGCGGCACGGATACTCAAAAATAATAAGTGTTCCTTTTTGATGGTAATACATTGAAAAAAATTCAATTGTGAATATGTTTTGAACATCCACTGGAAACTCGCGAAATGTTCTATGTATTTATCACAAATCTATGGGATATTACCAGGACGAAAAAGTTGAAAGAATTTAAAATAGTTATTCTCTTCTAGTAAGCTAAGATCTATATGAAGCTTCCTCACGGAGATAACATTGCTACGGAGGTGGCCTCGTCTACAGGGTTTCTAAAACTGTCAAATATACTTATACAAGACGCAAGTATTTTAAGAACCCGAATGAACTTCATATATCATAGCAGTACCTTAGGTAACATTCCGGGAAACTGAGACCGTTTGTGTCACACCCTTGTAATCACGAATGTCAATTACGTATTTATGTATAAAATGATTGTATGGAAAGTGAACCAGACTCGCTGCTTAAATATGGTGAATATATTTAATAGGTTGCACTGGTCCATGAATACTAAAATTGACAATCGACTGACTATAGAGCATTCTGGATTTTATAGAGAACTCAAGGTGATAGGATGAAAAATATTTATGCTATAGATTCTCACTGATTCGACAGAACGTAAATATGTTATGAAAATTTAGGGTAGTCATCATGTGATTTAGCTTTTTAAAATTGAATTAATATTTATTTGATAGGAGTATAAACAGCTGACGTAAAATATATCAACAATGTTTAAAAATCGTCAGCATCACGATCATAAAACAAAATGTTAGTAATAACTTACAACATTATTAAACTGATAGTAATAATAATAATAATAATATACGTATTGTTTGAAAGTGAATATCTTTAATATTATTGGATTTCAATTTACTTAGTCAATGCCGAAGCTCATTTCGAATAAACTTGAATAATTTCATTGTCAAGTGATTCATTACTTGCAGCATTTCGCAGGTGCTTCTTGAATAGCAGCTGATAAGGCAGATGTTCCCGACATTTTATAGCTGCGATATGAATGGCAAATTACTCAGGACTATCGTTCACTTGAATGTAATCATTTAATCAATTGGCTGGAGTAACGAAATGACATGAATTTTCCCTCTGACCGATTCATTTCTAATTCTTCACTCGCATTCATACGACAGGCTGATCCACCTGCGCTACGATTCAATCTTGGTCATTAGATCAACTAAATGATTACGAACAAACGTTAGCAGTGGTGAGTCAGGCCAGCTGTCGGGAAGTCTCGGCATCGTGTGACCGCGTGTCGTGTTCTATGCATCTCTTCACTCCCCCGCCGGGGCAAATGGTGGCCATCTTTAGCTACCTGCCACTACTGAACACGTTGAACGCCATTACTGTTACACGTGCAAGTACAAATTATGTTACTTGAAATTAATTTGAAAGTGGGATGTCCCATGACTGTTTTATAACTTCAGTTTCTCGACGGCTGATGGGACCGATTGTAAAATTTGTAAGTTCACAGTTTGGCTTCTGTGATGAGAAAAACTACGCCCGTGTTTTTCGCGGCAGCGCCATGAAGCTGATGAGGCTTGTGGGGAGAGCAGCCGTTGGCTGTGAATTTACCTTTTTAAGGGAATGTTGTGAGCCTTTTAATTGTAATTACAATAATTGCTTAGCCATAAGGCAGCAGATCTCTATTTCCTTATTCTTTTTAACCTAAATATTCAATTACAAACTACTTAACCTTTATAAAAACAACTAGCAATTAAGGTGTTAACACCTTCGCGAGGTAATCCATAGAATAATATACATAGAGTAATATTCGAGGTATGCAGAGTAATAATCCATGGAGCGAGGTAATCCATCTAGAAAAGAGCAGACGTAGAAATTATCGAAGTACAATTAAACAAACATTACAACAATACTTAATGGATTAACAAACAGTCTAGCTAGTAATTTAGAACAATAAACCATCAACAGTTAGAAACACCAATTACATATTGTATTTAGCATGGCCACTCAGCATTTTCCCTATGATGACAAGGATACATTAAAAAAAATTTCTATTGATTGCCTCTCTAATTAAGGTATGAACGCGTTTATAGTTATTTTATATTGGTTAAGTAGTTTGTAATTTAACATCTAAGTTGAAAATACTTTGGAAATGAGGTTCTGATCTTATAACTGAACAATTACTTAAGTCACAATTATTGGAGCTATAGCCATTTTTTGAGTGACCGTCTGTCCATGAAGATGATGCAAAGCTCAATAAATTGAAAAATGTATAGTAGAGACGATATGATTATGGATTTTACCTAGAGCGACCCTTAAGAACAATAATTATTATTTTTGGCATAATTCTCATATAGATGTGTGCTTAACTCTTACATTTTTAAAATTTTCATATGATTCTTGAATGATGAAGACGATAAAGTGGAGATTCAAAACTTGAAATATATATTTTATTAACCTTTCTATGATGATTTTTGCCCCTTGTGACCTTCCAAAATGCTAGCTGATTTTTGGAAATTTTTTCATTTATATGCTAATTTGTCATTTATTTTTAAATTTCAAACGACCCTTGAATCATGAAGGTAGCAATCTAGGAGTCTAAAATTTTTGCAAACTTTTTTTACATCTGCAACTTTTCAGCACTATTGTGGAACTGAACTCCAAAAAGTGAAAAAAAACGCTGAGCGCAGCAACGTACGTTATACAAGATGATTCACGGGAACTTATTGTTTTGTATTTCGTGCCAATAGCCAGATGTTGTAGGAAAAGAGGAGGAAGTATTTCACATGAGAGTCAAGGTCATAAATTTTTGTGTCCCGCCTAGTCAGTTGCCACTATGCATTGTATAAAGGAGCAGCGTAAGTTTGCTTTCGAGGCGTACTGTTCTAATGGCCGTACCATAATCGCTACTCGACGAGCATACCGTACTCTGCTTCGTGATCGTCCTTCAGGTCGGGTTTCTGAACGGAAGTCGATTGTTACGCTGGTGAACACATCTAGTGCAAGTAGAAGTGCGAATGCGAGAGAATGCAGAACAACATACGCCAAGCTATCGCTAACATACCCGTCAATATGCTTCAGCGAATTGAGTCAAACTTCAAAAATTGATTGACAGAAGAATATACTGGCAATGGGGGCCATCAGTTGTCTGATTTCATCTTAAGAACTAAATGATACAAAAAGTCATGTAATGTCTTTCCAATAAATTTTGTGATGTAATGACATCTTTATTAGTTCTTTTTCTATTAATGTTCCAAATCAGGAAATTAACGTAGATCACCCTGTATATACAGGGCTCGCTCTCGACTGTTGGATGTTGTTCGACCGGCGGTCGATCTTTGTTCGACCGGCGGTTAGACTCCTTCTTTGTGCAAGTCATTTCATGAATATAGTATTCTAAAAAATGGCTTACCGTACGATTTACCACCAAAATTATAATCAGACAGTTTATTTTGACAGCGGAAACTCGAACAGTGCAATCTCCTTCAGTAACAGTTGGCGACATCATGTACATAGGTTGCATTTAATATTGCATGCTTCACAAAAATCATAAGTATCATAATAATCGGATTAATCATAATCATCGTTAGCAATTTCTCCGGCATAAAGAATTATTTAGCTATACGAAAAACGGCTTGCATTTGAGCGACGTGAAATTAATAATTTCTGAATCAGTCTCTCAGGGAAGATTTGCATCACGTAGCTTCTTGAATGACGTCTAAAGAATGTATTGATTAGGTCGTTCCATCAGATATAAAATATCTGGGAATGAGCGCTAGAAAAAATTCAAACAATGCAGATTTTTAGTTAATTGGTTGAAATTCTTGTATTCAATAAACATGCTCCAGTTCGGCTTCTAGAAAGCCCGGAGCATTCAAATTTCCGGTCATAGATATCTGCGCCCATTAAGACGATGATCAACCAAATCAACTTCAAAAGATTAATTCGCTGATTATGGTTTAGACTTCAATTTCACGTGCGTCTTACCCTACGCGCTGTCATTAAATTCTGCCATCGTATGGCCACGTGTCGTGTTCGGGCCCCCCGTGCGGGGCATATAACCTGATGGCGGCCGTCGCTGGGCTCAGTTCTGTGTCATCTGCCTCCGACCTAACACGCAAGAGATCACTACTGCAATCCTTGTAGGTTGAACATTTTTCAGAAATTTTTATAGAATTCAATTTGTGTCAGAAAATTTGATGATATTTAATAGTTAAGATCGTAATTTTTTGGAACATAGTACGATACTTATTAATTTAAGTGTCGAGGCATGTTACTGCTCTATATTTTAAACATCAACGTTCATGAATCAAAATCGCATCGATTATTTCCGTTTTTTTTAATTGGATCAAGTATTTATTATGTATTTATAACCAAATTCTATTCATTAAAAGGTGGGAGGATAACTGATTACATTGTGAGTCTAATAAGAACCTCTAATGATATATTTACCGACGAATAGCAATATTTTGATCAGAGCCAAGGAGGTGGTTATTATTGTTTTGAATCATACAGTCGATGATGCGTAGACGTGTAGAGCACAAGTGCATAAAGGCTATACTAAATAATCGTTCTATTCACCGTGCAGCGCCATGAAGCTGATGCTGCTGATGATATTGTGCACCGCCGTGACCGCCAAGGTATTGTGGACTTTAAACTTGTAACTGAATAGGAAAATTTGTGAATGATTGTTAAGAAAATTATCCGCCAATAAAGATATTTCCGCAATTGTTGTGACCTGGCATCGTGATCGTCTGATTGTATCGAATGACATTTTACTACCGCATGATGATCAAATAAAATTTTCAATTACATTTTATAATTATTATTAAGATGAATATTATTAATGCGCATGAAGGTTCCCAAATTACAGTCTGTTTAACCATTTAAAAAAAACCTGCTAGAAAGTTGACGTCAATGTAAAAATGTGAGAATGAAATATATAAATAAGAAAATATTGGTATAACTTTATTTCAGAATGAAGTGAGTAAATTATAGAATAATTTTATTCGCCTGTCCACAAATTTATGTTCTAATTTTTCTTTTATCGACATTCGACTCTTATGTCCGACCGGCATATTCACATTCACATGAGACCCCCAGTATTAACTGAAGACATTTTGAAATTTCTTATGTTGCAGGCACCGGTGGAAAGTGCAGTAGAGTCCTCAGAGATCAGTATGTATTTACATAAATTTCGACGATATACATGTGAAAAATTGTTAAGCTTGCCGATTTCAGTCACACCAAATTATTCGTGAGCTGATTTTTGTGTACCAATTCTCATTTGACAATGAATTTGGATGTATGAATTTTAGGATGGAGGAAAAAACAAGGAAAAGAGAATTCGTGACGAATTGATTTTCTGAAATAATCTTTATTATTATTAAATCCTAAAATGATGATTAGGCACCGAGTTGAATTTGTCCCGGTTTTTTAAAAGCCACAATAAAGAGAAATATTGACCACCAATTAACATGGTTGTGCACAATGGAAGTGAAATTTCAATTTAATTATTCCGAAACTCAGTCGTAACGATTTTTTTCGTCAAAAAAAAGAATGGTTTAGTTTACAGAATGAAACCTGATACCGAACATTACTGATGACCAATTTTGAATTTTTTTTTGTGTACGGAGAGCATTGAAAATTCTCTGAATGAGTCCACTTTGTCACAGGTGTGGACATGTACATAGAGCAGTACACCTATGGTAAACTGACGCCTTGCTGCGAACGCTGCTACGACAAATTTGTAAGTGCATTTAGTTGCTAGCATAAACCTCAATAGAAAGGGAACTGCAATGGAGGGATGTAGTAATGAAAATTTATTACGGTAAGCGGTTGTAGTGTAGCCTATACATACTCGTAAATATTTTATGGAATGGAACTAGAATTCCACAATTTAGTATGTCATGAAGATAATCACGGCAAGCAGTGGTACCGTAGCGAGAAGGATTGATAAATACGAAGAGCTAATAAAAAAATAATAATTTCAACATTTCTTCTTGGTGAGGAAAGTATGGTTCTTGGCAAGAGGACTTGGTTGAGAAGTTGCATAATGAAAGGTTTTATTGTGCCAGGAGTACTTACTTAGCTGCATTTTTTTGAGACATGGAATAAAGAGGTGCTCTAAGTATTCATTAATTCGCACTAAGGAGTGATGAACATCAACTTCAGTATTGCTGTCTATATTTCAGGGAATGTTTCGAGCGATCAATTGCATTTGCACTCAAGAAAATTCTTTTTAATTTATATTTTCTTTAGCGTTGATGTCGCTTACAATGGAACATTCTTGAGAAGCATAAAGCCATCCATACATTGTATCCTATTAATGCGACTTTTTGTGCCCAACAGGGTAACAATGGATGGTGCTCTTACAGGTGGCAGGGATGTGGTTTGTTTGGGTACCAAGCGACAACATCTAAAGGTTGTGCTCTTGGCACAAGTATTTGTGATGTAAAAGGACAAAATTGTCAGTGGTATAATCCCTGCATCTGCTGCATCTCCAAGAAGCAATACGTTGCGTTCAACTCAACGTTTCATGAGATTCCTTGAACTCAATCAAATATTCTACCGTAATTTTTGACGCAACCGTAGTGGCTGTTGCTTCATTTTGCTGTTGCTCCAGTTGTACTGTGGATGAGCAGTCTTATTTCAACCGCTTGGCTTTTATTTTTAAAGGTTTGTTATGAGGCTTTCGTTGTTTTTCAAGGCTCAATCATTCCTTATGATTGGATCGAGACGCATAGAATGCATTAAACACTTAATGTCATTTCACTACTCTGGCGGCGGTTTTATCTCTGCTAATCTTAACGATGTGATGCTGAAGTTAATTTTGCGACTTGGTTCTTGGGAGTAAAACCAGCACCCGAATTTCCTTCATTCAAGCGCTAACGGTTCGCGGGGAACAATAGTCATGAGTTTGTAATGCTTTGCTTTAGGGTTTAGGCCAATACAAGATGAAAGATTACAAGATTTTTATTACATTTTCCGGACTTGTGTGCAACGTGTGGCAATTTCCATTTCTGACAAGAAGAAAGATCACTTGTAAAATCGTCTACGGAAAAAAATTACCTATAATGTCCACTTATTCTACTAAAATATGCCAGAATATTTTATTCGTTCTATAATAAATAAACATCAAAAAAGGTCAAAATCAATGAGGAATAAAAGAAATTGAAAAGTTTTCATTTCTGAAAATAGATAAAAAAAGTGCAGAAATTCAATGCGAAAGGAAAACAGTTATGGTGTCGATTTTTTGTTAGATTTCAGAATGATTTTAATATCGACGCAATGAAATGAAAGAAAATTAGAGTCCCTGGGAAATGAGGAAGAAATAATTGTTGCCTCAGCTGAGACTTTCCAAGAAGCAGTGCCTCAGCATAGACATTCTACGAGTTGGCCTCGTGAGGTCGTGTGTCCAGGGTTATAAATACGATTATAGTTTAAGTAGTTTAAGTTTGTATATAGAAGGGTTCAATTCATTTGTGTATATTATGTATTTTGCTCGTTTTATTGAAACTTTTCGGAGAAGCCAGGTTTGACAGTTGCTATATCACGACAAAGAAAATACGTGTGTTCGTGCATGTCAACGTTGGAAGTACTTTAATTAAATTGTACAGAAAATGTTGGCAAGGAGATGAAATCAGTCCTGTGGTTGTTTAGGAATTGAAGTTAACTCTACAGACTGCGAGGTCAGCTAAATACTACTCTGTGTTAGTAGGTTATAACAGGAGTGGTGGAGGTCTTGGTGGTATGTGGTTGTGCGGTGTCGCTAGGAAACTGAGAAAACAAATAGGTGCACAGATCGAGTGGCAAGAAAAAAGGATAAATTAAGGCTGTGTGGCTCAGTGGATGAAGTTCAGAGTACCAGGATTAGAGACGAGAGTCGTAGGTTCGATCACAGCTTCTTGTTATAGTTATGGTCAAAATAAGCGAGGTGGCCAGGCACTCAAGCACAGTGGATATTGGAGCAGTGAGTTGCGTGTTCGAGACCCGCGACAAGCTGTTGCGGGTCACACACGTAAATATTAGGCCATTACACACGTAATGACCTAATCTTTCATGTTGTCGATGCTATAATATAAATGACAGAAGGACACAGAGGGAGGCGATAGGTGCATAATTTGGTTTCTGATCAGTGCTGGAGGAATAAGGTTAGGGTTGGATGAGAGGTTGAATGTGCTAGGGCTTTGGAGGGTTTGCATCATAGAGTGAGGCGTGGGTAGGCTGAAGAACATGTAGTCCGTCAGCATGATCTGACCACCTGCTGTTGGCCACATTATTTTACACATCCGAAGACCAGGCAGAGCTGCCTTGTCGTCAGCGTATTTGAAAGTCTCCAGCTATCCGGTTTAATTAAGGGTTGAAGAGGTTTGGAGTATGATGATTGATGAAGATGTTGCAATGTGGATGAAGCTTGTCCAGGCCGTGAAGATGGATTGAGGCCAATAGCTCTCAGGGACAAGCCAAAATGGTGAGTCATGCTGATTTTGCTGCACCGAGCATGACTCACCATCACCTAACCTAACTCGCTGACATTTAAGTAATGACTCGAACAAGAGTTGTATCACGGAACAGGTGTCTTTTGAATTACATCTGATAACTTTCATCATTATCATTTTCGTTTTAACTGGAAAAGCTGGAAAATCAAATTCGTGTCGCTCTGATATTCAAGCCAAAAGATTTTATGTTAAATACTATGAATTAATTTGCGACCCGATTCATTTGCAGCAGATAAATTTTTCTGTTAATTAATATCATTAGATGACGTCAAGCCGCACGTTTGACGTGATAAGAATCTTTGCATAGTGATTTATTCTCAGATATCCTAGTAAATTTCGTTTTGTAATTTGAATTAAATTTCTGCACTTGATGCGGGTTTTAGTGAAAAATGATTATGAGGAAAATGATGCACACGATGTTGATGTGAATTGCTCTGATTATGAAAATGTCTCTTGCTTATGATATTTATATTCAATTTTGATTCATTTAAAGTTCTGTTCCTTTTTATTTTTATTACCTAGCAACATTACAAGGATTATGTTCCTTTTTTATGCAAATAATCTAAATGATACTCTTGAAGAACAATTTAGTTACAATGTTTCTCATGCTTATGGTGATATTGATAAATCTGATTAGCAGATTGTTAGTTGATAATAATAATGTAATGTGATCCTAAAATGCCTTAATTGGCGTGAAGTGATTGCAATAACACAACGGTGATATGCGATTCTAATTTGGTAATAGAGTATTGTGATTCTAGAGACGTATATATGTAATGTTCTTAATGAGTTTCCGATCAAATTGTGATCCAAGCTTTTTCCCTCAAGAAACGCACGTACGTGGAGTCCTCGGCCTCGTGGAGTGCATCTATAAGTGTCCCCTCGTTCTTCTACCCCAAAGTTTGAACCAGAGTTTTTCAATGAATAGGCCATTTAAGTAGATATAATTAACAAACAAATAATGAATACACAAGCAACAAGCCTGCCTAATCTACTTAAAAAACCTAACGACCTAGCCGAGCGTTTCAATATTCATTCACTTTCCAGCGCATTTATATAGTTCAGCGTCGAGCATTTATATACATTGTAGTTCAAGCTTCAGATTCGAAAATTAGGAAGTCGAGCAATAGAGCATTTGGCAATCGTGAAAATAGGCCCTCCTGAAACTAAAAAAAAACATATGCATAACTATAAAAAATAAAGAATATAATAGTATAAAAAAAATTGACACATGAAAATAATCAATATTACACAACACGATACAATACCACTGTACATCGCAAATATAGTCACAAGCTATCCCTAAACGCACCTCCACCACATATGGTCAGCAAAAAATAATGATGTGTAAAACGCACGACAACTGGAGGTCACATCAAAGTGATTGATATTTAAAATGACAAACAAACATCTCATAACCTAATAAATAGTAACTTAAGAATTGTACGGACGATATAAATTACACCTAGTCCTTCTGAAATATCATTTAAATGATGTAATGATTGACTAGACCTGCGATTATTCAGGTGGTTTTATTTAGAAATCAAAATTTACATTTTGTCATCTGGTTAACATTCCGGGAATTTAACAATATTTATTATCTTGATTGACTTGCCGTCATGAGTGCACATCTCTGATAATGGAAGATTTATTTAGTGCTTCTTCAGAAAAATACGAAACAAACCTACAATATGTTGCGGCCGGTACAAAAGGAACTTAAATTACGTCGAAATAATTCAGTCAACCCCTAATTATTTCTTATATGTTCATGAACGACATGTCATTAAAATTTTGACACTATGAAGAGAGAAGCAATAACGCAGAAAATTAAACACATATTTGCGTGACCAAAACAAGGATTTTGCTGCTGTTTATTTGTCCAATTATTGAGCTTGTATGAGATCGTTATGCTACCCTGCATGTATCACTATTAAAATTAATTTCACAGTTTAGTGAATCGTTTGATTCAAGCTCATCAGACGCATCTGTATAACATTAACTAAACTCTTTCAACCCGTTCAAAGTTTCGTTGGAAGCCGCTAGAAGTTTCAGCCAAAGCCTTCAGGAGAACGATGCTCTTGTTTAGGGCGAAGAAACATTGCGCAGTTCGAGAACTCTTAACTCTTTCTCTTGAGTGCTGCCGTTTTCATGTTAATGTCAACAAGGTTAGTGTTAGTTAATTGTTGTTAGTCAACATATGTTAGTATCAACAGGTTAGTGTCCATATAACATTGTTATCATGTTAACGCAGCTATTGCAGCTTGACGATATCGATATGATGCAAGTAAAATTTTACATGAACATTATGGTATTAACATGACGATTTTTAAATATTGACATTAAATTGGAAATATTAACATGGTGATTTAACCATTAAATTAAAATGACGATATTTAAATGTTTCCATTAAATGATAGCATCAATAAATTTATAAGTATTGATTACTTGGAGTTCGATCAAGCGTAAGATGATAAATTTTTTAAAAAATACGTTGTTGTCGAGAGTGTAAGTTTTATCGCAAAATAATCGATGAATTGAACTGGCTTGCTGATGATCTTCACAATGTTGCGGGAGAGCTATCAACATATATAGGCTATCCGTCCATTAGGTCCGCGATAGTGAAAATGAATTAAAACCCGATTCGATCAGAGTTGAGACTTTGCAAGATTTTATTGCTTAGCTAAAAAAAGGTACATTAGGTGGCCCACTCCCTAGGAGTAATAATCTTACTACCATTACATTCACAAGCCAAGCAACATAAAACCTAAAGTTAAACAAACACATTGGTCATGCTTGGCCGCCCATGGCGTCTTATGCGTTTATTCTTCAGCCGATGAAGGCTCGCAACATGCCCGTCGAGACTATGTGTGTCACATTGACGTAGCATAGCTAAGCGCATCCGCTTGTTACCGCAGTCGAACGTACAGTGTACCACAGACTCGACGAAGTTTGGGCTGACAGCGTCCAATTCAAAAATTCTGCGGCAGTAACTGTTTAATTCACCATTGGGGAAAAGTAGACTTTTTTCCTTCGCATTCAGACGAGGACCAGGTACGCTGGTAGACTTAAAATACAGAGCCCACATCCACCTGAAATAACCGACAGATGCACTTGAAAATGGAAAGTTTACCTAAAATCACAGGAACAATAGATCAATTCAATTGTGGAATATATCAGAATCCAAGAAACACTAGGATAGATGTACAAATTAAAATAATTTACATCTCAGCCATTGGCGTTGAGCTAGTTAATGCTTAGCACCATCGCAGCAATTTATAGCAGCATAAAATGGGAAAACAAAATTCTAACTATCCAACAATTCGCTTACCCGCCACTCTGCAAGAAAGCGTGAGAGGTGCAACGGTTGCAAACAATTAAGCGACATGATAAACAGGTAATTGAGGTAATAAAATTCGTCCAACTCCAACTATATTCACGATGCGGAGTCTTGGCCACTACAACCGCA